GTGAGGAATTAGTTGATATTTATTTGATATTATTTCCTTCACTGAATCGAATGGTGGTATTATATGTCTTCATAGCATGCGCTGAACTAACCTAGCACTGAACCGAAGATATGAACATACAAAGTCGTCGAGAAACTGAGAAAGAGTTTGAGTTTTGGTCGTGTGTCGTGCGTAAAATGTCGTGCGTCGTGCGTAAAAGTCGTAAAAAGTCTATTATGTTATATATCGACTTTATTTCGGTGCAAAAAATATCATTTTGAATATCAACAAGGTCAGACTGAAATAACAACTAAAATTTAAACAGTGCAACTATAACTCAGCAAACGGTCATAGATAACAAATAACTCGATGTAACTGCTATGTGCTATCGAATTAAATAACACTTCTACAAACTGCTAAGTTTGACTAAAGCGATGCAATGTTGCTGTAATTTCGACATTAAGTATCACCTTTTGGGTCGCAATAAGCTTCGCTTGAAAGACGTGATAATGCTTAGTTTAACGTTCTGCTGAGCATGACAAAGCCGTTGAGAATACCCCTGGGACCACAAATTATTCACAGTTTTTGTCTTGCATGAAAAATTTCTTTCTTTTTGCCAAGCGCGTCGTTGAGCCGGCCGCGTCGTAGATCTTAACCCCTCTAATGAACCCAACGCAAATCTACTATTCCTAAAACGTGACTCGTAAGAGCCTGGGAACGAGGTTGGACTCGTATGAGGAATTATATTAATTACAAATAAAATTATGCTGTCTTCAATAAAATGTAATTAATTACTGATCACAATTACTTCTTCAGGAAAGTAATTAATTACAGTAACAAAATTACCATTTAAAAGTTAAGCCATCTTGAAACGTCATTGTTGCCATAGCAACGGCAGTTGCGTATCTTTTGGGCAAAAATTCAAACTCTTTCGATGTCGTTTTATATAAGTAAGGTATTTTTTGTTTATCAACAACAATAATTGTCCAAAAATACGCGTCTAAATCGTGAATGTTCCATTTTTTTAAAGCTGTATTGAGCCGCCTTAGTAGATGGAAAATTTGTTGGGTTTTTAATTACTGTACAAAATTTCAGACAATTTGCTTTAGTTATTCTACATTATGGGTACCCAAATAAGCTATATACATAAAAAACTGGATACTAATAGCTGTTTTGCAAAATTGAGAGCAAATTCATATCTGTTCAGGTTTTTTTTTCTCCCTGTATAGGTTTACATAATTATAGAGAAACATATCATCGATAATAAATTCGCTCGAAGATCAAGTTCGTGTTTTACAAGTCCATGTTTTACAAGTCCATGTTTTAATTACAAGCCCATGTTTTACAAGTCCATTTCTTACAAGTCCATGTTTTAAAAGTTCATGTTTTACAAGTCCATGTTTTACAAATCCATGATTTACAAGTCCATGTTTACCAGTCCATGTTACACAAGTCCATGTTATACAAGTCCATGTTATACAAGTCCATGTTTTACGTACAAGTCCATGTTTTACAAGTCCGGTCCATGTTTTACAAGTCCAGTCCATAGTTTGCAAGTCCAGTCCAGTCCAAGGCCCAGTCCATGTTTTACAACATGCCCGAATTTCCCACCTGTGACCTGTTCCAAAAATAATTACTGTTTTCATGGAAATCCATTCATTTGAAATGAATATAAGAAAGCATGATAATATTGTCTTTAGTTCGCAACGTTTGTTTGAAACAGGGAAGTTTAATATCATAAACCAATGGCAATGTAGGTATAAAATATTGAATAATGTTAAATACAATCTGTGCCAGTGTATAGGTTAACTTGATAAGAGAAGATAGGGCTTCGTAGACGTTCAGCTAATTACGCCGACACTAACAATAATATTAAAGTACAAAACCTTTGCCGTAGTTTTGGGATAAAAGATAATTGCTATGATCTTGATGCAGTAAACACGAAGCTCTAGGAAGATGTTCTGTGATTTGTTGATTAATTATGACAATGATAAAAGACGTAATTGGCTTGCCATGAACAAAAGGAATATTGTTCTTGCTTCGTTCTTTAGAAAATCCATTCAATAGCTTATTCTTTTGTCATTGTCATAAACAACAAATCACAGAACATCTTCCTAGAGCTTCTTGCCATCCCGCTTGATAACATTGTAAACAAACAATTGATATTTCCTGCATGCAATCAGGTGTAGTTCTTGTCATTAACTATGAATCAGACAAGGTCAAGGGTGGCGCCAGAAATTTCCCGACGGAGGAGCTATGTTCCCCGACGGGGGCGGGGGCTATGCAAATTTTTTCATGGTTAAGGGTACAACATATACTAACATATTTTATATACTTTAATTATGCAATTGAGCCAGTATGATGCGTTCTTTATAAAACGTACGTACGAATCAGTATATTACGGGACTCACCGAACTGTGGAAACGCATCAAAAATTCGTATCGCCGCCACTCCCACAAACGTCTACGACCGCACCTACATATTTTTGCATGTTTAGAATTATAATTTTAATTAAACAGCCAATCGACGTTTAATTGTAATTGTTGCCAAGAACCGGATAAAATTAGAATTCTAAACATGCAAATATATGCATGTGCGGTCGTAGACATTTGTGGGAGTGGCGGCGTAGATACAGCTTTACTCTGACGAGTATCAGAATTATCCAACTCAATGGTTACGGGTGTTGAAAATCTATTGATTTGTGTTTAATCTCGAGTTTCCGGTTTGTGTGTCATGGCGGACATGTTTAGGTTTTGTGTTTATTTTATAAGACTTGTAAGAGTTTTTGAAGTAAATATATGAACAGAAAAACCTTATTTGCGTGTGAAAACATTTCCCACACGTAAGGTGGCGACCACCGCAAGGATTATACAGTGAACAGGATTTTTTTAGCTACAGAAATATGCCTATTACGAAGGGCCATAGCGAGTCAAATTTGGAGGAATCACAAGCTACTGGGGCGAAAATCAAAGTGAAACACCAATGGACCGTGTCACAGTCGTGCAAAAACAGTTGCAAACCAGTTTTAAAGTTTCTCTGCACTTGAACAGTCAAACTGAAACGATTTTAGAATCGAGAAACGAAAGAAAACTGCAACGACATAAGGGAAATTTGGAAGAAAAACTGAATAAATTACATGGCTTGGTAGCCATTCCTGTTTTTCTTCTTCTTCTTGTCGAATTCTCATCCGTTTCTCTTCTTCTCGAGCTTCAATGTCATATCTCTTCCTGGCTTCCTTATCCTCGTCCATCTTTTGGAGAAAACCTTCCACAGCCTCCAATTAAAAGAGTGTTCATAACCTTCGATAACCTTATCTGGTCCAATTGCCCATTCATCGACCGCCTCAAGATCCAACCCTTGCTCAAACTTTAGTTCTATCATAGCTGATTGCGAAGATATGATTTACAATGCGAGGAAATACGACTGCAACGTTGGAAAGAGGAACAAAACACTGCAAGGTTACCTAAGTTGGAGATAAGTAAATTTGTGGCTGATTAACTAGATTGGAACAGCTTTTGGGAACAATTAATTTGAGTCAGAAATTCGCAAGACCTCTAAACCGGCTGTAACTAAATTTGTATACTTGCGAGAACTACTGGGTGAACGACCAAAAACTGAAATACTAGGACTTTCGTACACTGAAGATGGATACAAGAAAGCCGAAGAAGTTCTCGAGGCTAAGTATGGGTTACATCAGAGATCGTTCAAGCTCATGGTAAGCAAATTATGAATTTATCAGTGATATCATCAGTTAACTTAAAACAAATTCATGAATTTTATCGACTGTTTAATGTGAGTGTGAACTCATTGCGAACTCTGGGAAAACTAGATACTGCCGAGATCTTAGTCAGAGAAACTCTAGACAAGTTGGGCCCCATGAAGGCAGATCTGACCAGAACAGACTCTAAATGGCAAGAGTGGGGGTTTGATGACCTATTGACAGATTTACGAGATTTTACTTTGAAAAACCCAGAAAATGCAGGTAGCATTGGGACGATGAAAATGGACGAAGGCCTCCAAGGGGGGAGAAACAATTCCAAGGGACTGAGGGCAGAGGACCCAAGTGTGTATACTGTAATTCTACTAACCACAGATATAGTAATTGTGATAGAGTGAAAGATGTGAGTGAGAGAAGAGAAATTCTACGAAAGAACAAACTTTGTTACAATTGTACGTGCTCAGGACATGGGGCGGCAAGTTGCAAGAGAAATTGGAGGAAATGTAGTGGCAAGCACCATACATCTATTTGCTCTGTAAAATAAGACCCTCCTTCCCATTACATGATTGGTGCGACCAAGGGAACCATACACCCTACCACTGTTGTTGTAGCGGGTGGGGAGAAATTCAGAACAATGCTTGACACAGGTGCTGGCAGTTCATGTGTCTCATCAACAGTCATTAAATACTTAGGAATTAGACCAACCAAGTGGAAGAACAAAAACATTGAAACAATGACTGACACTGTCAATCAAAAGATGCCTTACTATAATGTTACACTGAAGTCCACAGACGGTAGTCAGAGTTTAGATTTCAAAGTGAGTAAGTTACACCGGACAATTTTGACAACCCCTACCAACCCCGGTATCCATGGGTTAAAGGAAGCACACCCCCATCTGAACGGAATCCAATTCGATAATGAAGACGACCGACCTAATCACCCAATACGTTTGATCCTAGGGGCGGGGGAATAGTTCTCGAGAAAATTGAGGAGAAATAGATTGCAATCGAGCGAGATGAGAAAAGAGTAAGAGAACAAATTGAAATGGCCGCCGAGAAATATCAGATTACGAAGGAGCTAACTGAGAAGAAGGTCCGGATCAACGTATGTAAATGGTTTGAAGAAGAAGTTGCGATGCCTGATTCGGGGACAACGATCAGATTAGTGTAGATGAACACATTAAGAAATTAATTTCTCGATTCTCAGCCGAACATGTCTAGTAAGGAAGCGCAGATCCCTGTGAAGTAGGAAATCAATGACAACATCCCAATCCAAATCCATTAATATACTAGCGTACAGGATTCAACATCCCTCAACCACGTGAACCAATCGTCAACTGCCATTGAAGACCCCCTTTGAAACCCCAACCTGGTCCAAACCCAGCTGACTACGATATTGAAAATTCTAAAAATCCAGAATCAAAGCAGGTTACGTTTGCCAGAGCCTGGCGTCTTTTCTGGCGATCACCTGAAGTACCCAGTATGGGCAAAAGCATTTGAAACGCTAATAGAAAGTCCTGCGATTAGCTCTGCGGAAAAACCCCATTATTTGGAAAAATATGTTTCTGGTGAAGCAAAGGCGATTGTCGAAGGATTCATGTTACTGGTTGGCAATGACACTTGTGAAAGGGCGAAGAAACAGTTGTCAAAACGATTTGGGAGTTACCTGTTCTACGACTTCATTACTGAGTTGGACACAAATCCTTTCTGCCTTCTTTAACGTAGGTTTAGACCCAATTAACAGTGACTTGGTTTTCTTAACATTAGCTATCATTCTGTTTTGAGATAACCATTGGTCAACATTCATTAAGTTATTATTAATCTTTGCTTGTGCCATTGCCAAGTCACAGTGCGAAAAATGAGTTTCAGTGTCATCAGCACACAAGAAAGTGTTACACTTTTGAAGCTTTGTATAATGGTATTGTAATATAAACAAAAGAGTGTTGGGCCGAGTATTGACCCTTGAGGCACGCCAGTAGTTATGTATTCAAGGTCAGAATTAACGCTTTGATAAGTTACATAATGCTGCCTACTTGACAAATAGGAATCAAACCACTTGGATGAATGAATGACTTCAATTGAAGAGTGAAAAGTGGTTTTTCATTTTACACTCTGTTTACAGATTAAAGTTATTACTATATTATTATCTATCAAAAGTTACTATCATATTAGTTAAGTTACTATTTAGTACCTATTTACAATGGTTACTTAAAATAGGTCCCAACGGCCATTTTAAAACTACTTAGATTTGTTTTTTCCCTAATACCTAATGGCAGACTATTCCATAAAACTGGCGCCCAATATTCAAACGATCTTGTTTTACTGTAACGTTCGTACGTGGCTTGGGAATGGCCAAGTGTCGATTTGCCGCCGATCTTGTTCGATAATTGTGCTTGTTCATCAAAGATATTAATTTCTCAGAAAGATATGTTGGACCATCTCCATTTAAACATTTACAAAGTAGGGAACAACGCTGCACGTAACACATTGTAAGTATGAATTAACACGCTGCAAGTAACATCGCGTTTTCACCAAATCCGTAATCACATAGTCTCATTAAAAGCATGGAATGATCAATAACGTCGAACGCTTTACGAAGATCTAGAAAAACGGCTGCAGTATAATTTTTATTATCAACAGCCAATTTCCAGGAATTGACCACCTTAATTAATGCTGTCATATTCGAGCAGTGCTTAGTATATGCAAACCGTAGAAGTTCGTTTAAAGTTTGATGACTTTCTCCGCAATCTTTAACTTGATTATCTGCCAGGCTTTCACATATACTTTTGCGAGAGCAGAAAACACCGAAATTGGTCTATAATTATCGCGATCGTTGGCAGGAGCTCCTTTAAAAATAGGTGAGATTTTAGCAAGTTTCCATACTTTCGGAAATATTCCCTGTGTTCAAAAGAACTGGGTATTATTGTGGTTAAATATCTAGATATGTTGCTCGCCGACAATTTCAAAATTTTGGCAGGAAGCTCATCATAGCCTGTAGTTTTACTTGGCTTTAATGACATTAGTTGTTTTTCAATTCGGCCTCTCGAAATCGATTGATTTGAAATTGAAACACGATTCAACCTCTTGGGCTTTTGAGCGTGGGGAGTTTTCCGTATCCTGGCATGTATTTTGCGTAGCAAGCAATTGCTAAAGGTGGCTCCCTAGGGTTTTATTTCCGGGGGTTACGTTCTTCGTATTATCTTTGGTATTATCGTATATATGTAAACTAAAACCACTGAGCTATACTATATTACTGGAGGAAGTGCTCGGCAAAAAAAGTTTTATGGCGAATTTTCGCGCCATATGACGCTATTTCCATGACAACTGGTTCTTCCGGCTCATGGAATTATCGCTGAACAGGCTCAATTGTGAGCCGGCTACAATTTTCACACACCCCTGGTTTTATGAAAAAATTTTTGCTTTTCGAGGTTTTTGCAGTAAAATCTCGTTGTTTTATTATATTTTTTCGACTTTTGACCATTTGTTCAAAGATTTAAAAGTCGTGCACGGTATTCTCGCCCGCGAAAGACAACAAATCAATATGAAAACCCCGAGAAATTTAGGCAAAGGCGATATTTGATGGCAGAACAAACAGGTATAAAATATTTCACATAATATTGCATGATCTGCTTTTATTTTAAATTTTTAAAAGACAATGGGAGTAAATGATAGAATATAATTCATTACATAACAGGCTCTTTGTATAGTATATATATGTTATTTATCGGATTGGAGGTCCGTATAGAGAAATATTTCTCGAGGTCTTAATAACGGCCCGAGGCCGAAGGCCGAGGGACGTTTTTAAGAGCGAGAGAAATATTTCTCTATACGGACCGACCATACCGGTAAATAATATTTTTATTTTTTTTAATTCCTCTGGATTTCCCCCAATCACTCCTCCCGAATGAAGCTGCCAAATAAAACGTCGTTTCTATCAATGCTATCGGGAAGAGAAATATCTTTTGTGAGATAGTAAAATTCGCTTTCACCGTGTTTTTCATCGTCTGCAGACATTTTAATGTTTTAAAAAGTAGCCTTTAAGGTGGCTCCCTACAGTTATATAATTTTCAAGGTATTTTAAGTGGTCATTATTTATTGAGTTAATATGGCCATTTAAATGTTATCTTGAATACATGAAGCAAATATTACAATAACAGAGGTATTAATCTCTTAAAATTTAAAAAATATTTTACAAATATGGTGTTGTCATGGCAACAATGATGTTTGAACTTTAGCTTCTTTTCGAACATATGGCAGTTAATATTGATTATTTTGAGTTTCCTTCGGTGAATTTTTTCCAAAATTTTCAAACAAGTTCATTCTTTAGTATTCTAAAACATATATAAATACGAAATAGGGTTGTCAAGGCAGGTTCTTCGCTACAGAATTTATGAGCTTGAAATAGTTCTGTCTTATGAATTTTTTTGAAAATGTAATATGTTGCAGAGCATGTTATGTTCCTTCAATTTAAAAAATTTGAAAAAATTTCACCGAAGGAAACCCCTGTAATTTCTATTTTTCTATCCGCGCGGCCAGCGCTGACGTGACAAAATATCGATTCGACATGTTCGCATGAGTGAAATTATCACGCGAGACCGCGTGTGGGTTTTTTATTGTGCAATCTTCACGCGTACGGCTCATGTGCTTGAAGTTTTGCTTCGAAATGCCGTTGTATTGCAGCGAGAATTCGAGCAGTTTTTGTCACTCTGGGTCGTCTCTCGTTCTTTGTTGGAGGTTTCGATAGGATGGAAATCAATCCTGGTTTACCAAAGTCTTTGAACAGCTTTGAAAGATCATCGCCCACTGCCACTGCCACTGCCACACGCCACTGCCCGCGATTTTCTCCGCCATGCTCTTTGTTATTATTCCATCGCCCGTTGGATTGTATAGCTTGTATTCCATGGATTTCAAGATCTCGTGTCGTTTGTCTAAATACTGTAAATCTTGCAGAGCATAATCACAAGAAATCGGCTTACAATGGTTGACAATAAACTCTTCCGAGAGCTGCAAATTAGAGTGAAATAACATCTTTCGAAGGGCCTTGACATCTTCAAACGCATCGTGTGCCTCGAAAGTTTCTTGAAACAAACACTGGTACAATGCGGTCTGGTTTATTGGGCAGGACTGACCATCAGCTTGCTGTAGGGCAGGATGTTTGCTGTGCACTAGTTGCTCAAAGATCGAAAGACTTTCGCCGAATAAAACTCCCAATGACTGCATTTTCTCATGGAATGAACTCGTACTGTTGCGAAGTATGACCGGTATATTATCAAATCGTTTCGCGTTATGACCGACAAGAATGGTACAAACGTCTTTATCCGTTAAAGTCTTGCAATAATCGATTGAGGATTCAAGGAATAAACTAAAACGGGAGATAGCTTCTGACGAGGTAAGTGTTGCTAGTTGTTCTGCCTTTTTGAAAAGCGTGCGTTGCCCATTCACAGTTCTAACTGACAGTTTGTTGACTCTTGAAGCATATTTGTCTATACAATTATTGGGCAAAATATATTCCGAGAACGAGCAATGATCTGACTTATCAACTGCCGACAATTGACATAGTTCTGCTGCTCTCCCCGTAGTGTTCGTTTCTGTATCAAACACAATTATGTTATAGAATATGTTGTCATGGTAAACAATGTCGGGGCATGTAGGTCTAGGTGTAAACTCAGAGACTGTATTTTCATAAGTTATAAAAGTTTTGTCTGACACACTGGAGAGGTCGAATACTTCGGTTGCTTCACTAGTTGATGGTAGAGTTGAAGTTTTATCCAGTGTGAGGCCAACGTTACTTTCATATGTTTTACCCTCTTGTTGCTCTTTTTTATTGTTATGAGACAATCTTCTTGAATGCAATTGATTTCTCCGCCTTTTGAATTCAATGGTTTTCTTTCGTACATTATCATCATTTTTCTTTTTATCCAATTGTAGATTGTGGTCAACGCAAATTCTTCCTGGCTCTACGCCCATTGCCTCTAAAGTTTGGTTGATATAAGTATGGCCGATGTTGGTTTGGGCCACTGCACAAGCTACTGGATAATCGTTGCTTTCGCTGCCACCATAGAAACGAATCTTTGGGGCTTTCGAACCAACAACACTGTTCAACGACTCATTGCGCTGGGAATTTGCAACCGGAGCCAGTTTTTCAACAACTGCATCACTATAATACTGGCTGAACAATTCGACTAGGGCGTTGTATAGACAATCGCCATGCAGATCTTTACCATATGGTAGATGGGCATGTCTGTATTCAATTGGATCTTGCTTATATCCACACCACTCATCACTGCATGTATCATGGTTACCAAATGCATGAGGAACAATGGATTTCAGGGAGGTTTGGATGGATTTGGAATCTCCTTTTCCTTGATTGACAGAAATTGAGAAACACTTTACCAGGTAGTTGATGACTTTTTGAGATAATGATGAACAGTTGACAAATTTATTGCTTTTACTTAGGTTGTACAGCCTGGTTGTAAGAGAACGCTTTATATGTATGATATCGCTGTATTTTTCAATGCCGTATGGAACTTGTTCATGAACGTAACATTCAGTTGTAGAATCATCATCCCCAGTGTATGTAGAGTACTTCATGTTATAGTTTGTGGCGTTCTGAAAGAGTTCTACGGCCGACAAAGGTTCCATTGATTTTGAAGAGCCTGTATGGTTTTTCCGGCAATCATGAATTCTGGGCTGTGCATGATTTTTTGCTGCATGTTCACAGATTCTGCAGGTCTTAGTTTTTGTGGTGTAATCGATCACCTTGCCTGTATCTAACCCCATAACAGCACCTTGACCAGTATTTGAGTTGAAGCCTTTACCACGCTTCTGCCATCCCATGTCGTAAGAGACGCTGATTGGAATAAGATCATTTTCATCTGGTTCAGCCCCAGTCAAAACAGCACTATTTTTTTCTATAATGGTAACATCTTCACATGATTTTTTAGCTACGTCTTCAATAACAGAACCAGCTTCTCTTTCCCGTTTCTTGAAACTTGCCCGACTGATTGTAGGGATGTTCATTGTCGAAAGAATGCTATTTAGGTGTGTCTCTCCTATACCTGTGTGCAGACTTGCCAATGCTGCTCTGGAATTGATATCATAGGCACTTGGACCACATTTTCCAGACTTGTGTTTACCACAGGTTTCTATTATATTATTTTCTTTACAAAACTCGCATTCAATGATCAGTTGAGTTGCCAAAGCAAAGCACTTTTCTCCCACTACATTTGCAATTGACATTGGACCTTTAACAAAATGAACATTATTTTATTATTTTGTGTAATGTTGAACTTTTATGTAATGATATTTTGTGTAATGTGTAATGTTATTATGTTGTGTAATGTGGTTGTATTTTCTTTTTATCACAATACAATTGTGTATATTATAATAAGTCATTTCTGTTTATTTGCTTATAAAATATTTAATAACAAATTTGTGTAGCAATAAAATGTAAGAGTGCGAAAAGCTTTGGTATATTTACCTTTAGTGCAAAATTTGCATGTTTTTAACTCTTCGTATAAAATATCAACGTCAAAAACGCGTGAACCGTGTGGCCTATTTTCTTGGAGTTCTTGATGCTCCTATTTTTTTGAAAAATAAGTTTATTATAGTTATTGCATTGACCAAAATTTAATAGTTATAATTTCTATCGCTGAAGCACGTACCGTCGCCCATCTTGTAACGCGTTTTACGGGAATATCGCTTTCCACTGTGTTTTTTTCCACCAAAGGACGCTTTTGACTCCATTTATAGTATCCTTTCCGAATCCTAGCTGTATTACAAATATTTCTGGCCGAAATTGTCCCAAACTTTCCTGAAGACAAGCGATTATTAAATCTAAAAGACATTTTGTTTTGAAAACTTTTCGCACTTGAACTTTAAATTTCCCGCGCGATCCACGAAACGTGCGTGGCTTTTGCGTGGACCTGTAACGCGATGACGTCAACACTTTGTCAAGATTATAGTTTCCAGTCTTTTCATAAAATAACTGTAGGGAGCCACCTTAAACTCGTCTTTAAATTTTGAAAAATAAGAACATTGGCTCTACGGCTTTAAATCTGGCGCGGTCCGTACGGGCTCATACGGACCGCTCACGTAGCCAATCAGATTGCAGAAAAGCGTAAAATATGACTTCTGACCGCAAGAAAAAAAATAAATATATGTTATTTACCGGCTCATCCGGACCGACGCTGCCGGTAAATAACGTGTTTATTTTTTATCAGATGTAAAAATTAAATTGATTAAAATTCCAGTGTTGCTTGCGAACTAATTTGAGATCAGTGCAGTTGTGTATTTTCAAAGCGAGGCTGACAAAAATTGAAAAGTTAAAAGATATAAAACATGAATACGAAAACTCGAGAAAACTGCCAAGAAACACACAAAAAGACGTATAGTTTCAGTAAATATGTACATGCTTTTTCATGAATATGGTAGCAGAGAACTGAGAGAAGCTTCGGAATAAAATCTTTTATGCCTGGCGCTTTGGCTTTGGCAAGTTGCTCCTGACAACGACAGGTTCATGTTCAGATCCGATCATAAACATATAAAAATAAATCTGTTTTGATTTAATTAACGTTTTTCTACTAAAAGGACAATGAAAAAGGTATGTTATTTTTATATTTTTTCTTGTCGTTTCACGATAATATGCTTGAAAAAAGTGTTTTTAAACACAAACTTTTACTTTGTTTACAATATTTATATCAGTGAAAAATACACGACACAAATGGGTAGAGAATATATTCGTGAGTTGTTTTCACTGCTGCAGTTAAACCTTCTTTTAAATGGGAAAACATTTATTTTACAATATCTGTTTAAGCTGTAATTTTTTCGCTTTTAAGTGGCCGAATACATGAGCATTTAAAAAATATATAGTTTTCTCGACGTAAGTTTTATACATGTCAACCACTTTCCGACTTTCAGTCGCATTTCTATCAAAGTATTGCCAATTCTCGTGAACATCGTGCTTAGTATGAAGCCTTTAGGGCTTGATGCAATTCATTTTTGTATTCTGACTATCGTTAGGCTATGTTTTTCAAACGTTTTTGGCAGATTTTTTTCGTTTAAAAATTGTTTCACTCCTCAGTTTTTGCCGCGAAAACCAGAGCGGGCAGTTGCATTTCACAGCGGGCAGTTGCGTTTCAGAGTGGGCCGGATGCAAAAAACCGGCCCGCTCTGAAAGGCTCCTCAGCCAATCAGATTGCTTCATTTTCACTGATAAAAAATAAAACGTATTATTTTCCTCCGTGTATTCAAAGTCTTCAAAAAATACAGAAACTTTGTTTTTATATTCAAAGTTTTTTGTTTTTTTACTTTACTAGCTTTGTTAAATTGTTGACTGGCCATGGTTTTTGTTAAACAAATTTTGTTTTATTTATTTCAGTTAAATCAGTTTTTCCCCTCAAATCCTCTGGGTTTTCTACATAGACTGATGACTGAAATCTGACATGCTTGATTTTATGCAATTGTATGTGCTAAATAAGTGTATGTACAGGTGTAAAGGCATGAAACGATGTGCTTCTATCTATATTCTTTCTGTTTATATACACCAGAGTCTGTGGTTATTATACTGTATGCATAATCTAGGGTGCCAGTAGAAAATAGCCTAGGAGTGCCAGAAGCTCAGGATACTGTGGGCAGCTTATCTGGTAATATGACTAATGACATGTTGAATATCTCATTATACAGGCTAGAACTGAGAAAGTCACACATACTAGTCAGACATCAAGTCAGAAACAATTTAATTGGTAGATAATGTCACTTCCAGTCCATGCAGGTGGATTTATTTGGGGTTTTGTTCATTTCAGTCCTCTCTCTGTGCACCCCTGTATCAGATGCAACTACCTGAACCTAAGAAATCAATGAACTTCAACATTTTAGGCCGTGAAAGACCTATAGTATTATTTTTCAGGTAGTTGCATGATACATTTAAGCCTTCAAATAGTGTGGTGGCTTAAACTGCTTTTCTCATTTCCTTTCTTCACTTTCTTACTCTTTTGTCTCCAGTGAAAACTTTATTTTACAACATTTTAATTACATAATCTCTTTTTGGTCTAATTGCAGAATTATTTGATGGTGAGACAGTTCATAGTTCAACCTCTTTATTAAAGAATAATCAATTATTAGAAATAATTAATTTTGTTAGCAGTGATAAAACTATCCAGACAAGTTATTATTATTATGACTTTGTAGCCAGATGGGTATGATGTTGATTTGGCTGTTCAGTATTTTGATCCATTGTGATATGGCTTGTGGTACCTGTGAATTATTTTACCTGAAAAATGAATGACAGAATATCAGAATGTAACATTACATTAAGATACATCCTTACACTGCAATATAGTTATGTAATAGATGTTCAGTGTAAAGAATATGGTCTTTGACACTTTTTGTATATAATAAACATGCTATATATTGTGTAATGGAAATGATCAAATAAAGTTATTTATGCAACAGCCCTTGCATTCAAACACCTTATTTGTATTTTTCTTGTTCATGCTTGAGCATCAGCCTCAGGATAAGCAAATTCCATTGGATTTGTGAGAGCACTTGAACTATATTGGGTCATTATACATGAATTACAGAAAAGATTCAGACTCCCACAGCCTGAGCTACAAGTTACAGTTGTGACAGTGTAGAGGGGGATCCACAAGTAAAATGTGCAAAGGGGAGCTAGGGGGGGGGGATACAAATAAAAAAATGATGTTTAATATGACTTAAATTATTAAGCAATTGAGTGCACTAGCACTTTCCCCTTAACAAGTAAAATTATGTGGTATTGGACTGAGTAAGATAACAAAATAGGGCATAGTGTTTCTTAATTAATCACTTATAATAAAGGTTTAAATGCTGATTTTTTTGAAAGTGCCAGAGTGGCAACTGGCAGGGTATTGAAAAGGTAGGTTGTGCACATGCATCCTAAATAAATACTGCTACAAAAACCTGGTATTTAACAGTTAAAACCAATCACGAATTTCATTATTTTAAAGTAATATAAAATAAAACAAGTCGGGAAAAGGATTTTGAACCCAAGGTATGAGACAAAACTACAGTATGAGAATGAGTTTGAATATAAAGAACAACAAAAAAGAGGATACAAAACTACTGTGATATTGTTGAAATTTATAGCAATATTATACATTTGCTGTTTATAACGACAGTTTTTGACATAATCTTTTCATGCTTTTCCATCGAAATGACAAGTTAATTTGTCAAGCAGCCCAAGCTTTGGCAAGCTAGAATTAAAAAAAAGTTAAAAAATAAAACTTTTGTGAATCTCACCTGAAAACAAGAAATATAATAATCCTTTCGAGGTAAATGTTTCGTCTACAAGCAGAGCAAAAACTGAAAACTAACGCACTTTTTTTCTCGACTGCAAAAATATCAAGATTTTCAGTCAAATCTCGAAAATTATGATCAAAATTTTGGCAAAAACCAGGGGGGTGAAGGATTTTATTTTAAGCGTAGGATCGCGGTTGGTCAGTGTAATTAAGCGAGCCGAGGAACCCAGTGAACTCTAATACTCAACTTTTGAAGGCTAAGTCAGGGAGTTGAAGCCGTGCTTGAAGCTTTTTTGTAGGTAGACCCAGTCCTTTTTAAAAATTTTTTTCAAAATATGCACATTTTTCGATGAGAAAAATCTTGCCCCAAAATATTAGTTATACTACCAAATTTAATTTATATCGGTAGTATTATAAATGAATTTAATATTCGCAAAGCAAACAAATCACGAATTAGCAAAAAAATACGAAAAAACACGGCCATGCATAAGCATGAACGGTCAGAAAAACCGCGCGTTTTAGGCTGCTTTTTCTGAGTTTTTGGAAGTTAAAGATAAAACTAAGACGTCATACCTCAGGAATTATTTAAACCCATGCTAAATACATCTGTATGCGAAGTTTCAAGAAGATTGAACGTTTCAAGGTCGAAAAAAAAGCATTTGAAAATTGACAAAAATATTGCCATATTCAAAATGCTCATAGTGGCCAACAAGATGCCGATGAAGAAAATAACATCACTCGAAAAACGCCAATTTATTTATGTTTAAAAGCGACTAAAATAAGGACTAAAAGCTCAGGATCAATAACAATACCTAGGGTTTAGTACAACATAAATTTTGGGACTGTCAAAATGTTTTATAGTATATATTTTTGAGTTGAATGGCGAGGTTTCCTTCGGCACGTCGAAACTTTCGTCATTTTTTCAAAATACAAAAGCAAAACTCCTTACTTTTTGCTGCAGAGAGATGTAAAGCAGTTGGAACTAATCGAAAAACCTGGTTTAAATCCCAATCATTGTTGTATTCCCATGGAAAAAGTGTTTTTCTTGCAAATTTTTGCTCGAAAACAAACTATTGGCAATTTTTTTTCACTCCTCAAAACTCTCCGTAGTTCTTTTGAAAGCTGATTTTCCCGCGCGCCAGCTTCAACGAATCATAGACTTTCATCATAGGAGTTAGCCTTCCAGTTATTATTAGAGTTCACTGGAGGAACCATATGGCGTCAGCAAACCTGAAAATCCGCCATGTTTTTCCTCCAGTAATATTATAGCTCAGTGACTAAAACTCGTGTGTGACTTCAAAATAGGAACGAACGTTGTGTTTTATATGGAACTCTTTTTTGAAACAAAAGTGTGAACTTTGCTTTAGTTGAAAGCATAAAAAGAGTTCTAAAAGCCAAAACGATACTTGGATGTGATGTTTCAAAAGAAGATAATGTAAACTTGTTTTTTTTCAAGCGGTATTCTGGAAGTTTTTTGAACCGCCGTACGCGAGGTTCGATCGCGAACATTGGGATATGATATAAAGTTTCCTCAAGAATTTGCAGTGTTTTCTCCACAATCTAGCAGCATTTATGACAATAAAGATGACTTAAATAATGA